GGACATGAAGGAAAGAAGAGGGAGGGGCTCACCCTGGGTTTGTGTTGGCCATTTGGCTGGCAATGCAGGGCGAGGCAGCGCAGGTCACCTCCTCAAAGATGATAGGCAGCCCCGGCGGGTCGGACACTGCGAGGAAGGGAGCAAGGGAGCAAGGGAGGGAGCGAGGGAGGACGGATAAGGCTCAGGAGACGCCCGTCGGTGGATGATCAATCAACCATCTTTAGGAATTTCAATATTATCGCTTCCCCTGTCCTCCTCTTCCCCTCCATTCTCCTCACCAATCTTGTAGTTGTAGGCCACACAGTGCGTGATCAGTTCCTACCGGGGTCAAGAACGGGTCGTGGAGGAGGGCATATGAAAGGGGGGAAGCTTGCGTTGCTGGTGGCTGGGTGCGTCCAGCCAGACACGGTGCACAAATAGGAACTGGAAGTTCTTCGCGTTCAGGCACACCTCTCTTATACCCAGGCTAGCATCCGTCTATCGAGAGATTCTGTACTGACATTTCTTTTCAGACGCCAGAGCTACGCAAATGTCTACTTCGGGACACAATTTGTGAAGGACCATTCACTGTTTAAAAAACTGCACACGGCAAACCAAAGGAAAAGGGGGAATCGGGGCGCTTTCTACGATAACGGTCGTCACACATACCGCGATCCACTTCCATTCCTGCTTCAACAATGCCCACTCCAGGCGGCCCTGCCATTCAATCTGTGAGACATCGTGGTGAAAGGAGTACACAATTACATATGATGACGATTTCAGACGTACCGTGCAAGGCTGGACTTTACCGATGGCCCATACATTCGTTCAATGCACTATCCTCTCCTCCTGTGGATTCCTCCACCTGGTCATCCTCTCCTTGAAGTCCTAAACTCACCTCCTTCCATTTTTTGCATCTAATGGCTTTCCAAGAATCCCAAGCGCGGTTCCGATGATTGGAATAATAGCTACGTGACACATCTGATAACCGCGGAGAAGGTCCGGAAGGAGGAGATAAAATGCTTACGGCTGACACGCGGCGACCCGCGCTTTTACAAGCATCTACTATCCTCGGCGTTTCTCCTTTGTAGTCCTTGCTTCCGTCTAGATAGCAAAGTGGGATGGGCGCAGGAAGACAGGATTCGACCGAGGTAGTAGATTCCTGCATTTCGATTACCCGTGATGCACTCCCAATGGCATCTTCGGTAACGGATCCCTTATTTACAGCCATAATACCATTTACAACCATAACCGACCGTGGCAAGCCGAGCAGGGCTCTGTGTGATGAAATGTGCGTTTGTTAGCATGTTTGTGGATTGGAAAGGAATACAGAGCCGAAAGCATCGGGGACCGACCGTGTCGACTTGACGCACTTGGTGAGAGAGACCTCGGAGTATCCGAAATGCTCTCTCTCGAACATTCCCATGCGATTAAAGGGCGCACCAAGTACACCTTGCTGATGCGTGGTGATAGAGGTATCCCCCCAACAAAATTAAAAAAATGCCAAAAAAATTAAAGAAAATGGCATCGTGCATGACAAGTCCAGGTGCCTGGTTAGCTTCGCATTTATGTGCATGTCCTATCAATCCGTTGCTATTCCTCTCTCCGGGGTAGAGTCAATCAGAAATGTGACTCTTCCAAGACTCAACTTCGTACAACCTGCCACAAATGTAGCGGGCAAATATTTTTAAAAAATCTACGAGCGACGTGTTTTTGCTATTTTGTAATTCGTAGGATGATGGATTTAATAATCGTTTCCTCCTTGCTTTACAGAGCGTTCTAGTCACCTCTTTGTCCTGTCCTGATTTTTAAAATCAAAATTAACGAGTCACGGAAAGCAAATATGTGGTCACGGGAAGTAACATGTAGTTATCTGATTCTTCCTTCTCTCAAAGCCTTGAAAGAATTAAAGCGTAACAGCGCTTATGAGGAAGTCGAAATGAAAGAAAGCACTGCGAGTAACCTCCCCTGTTTTCTATTCCCTTGACAAAGTTGTGAATTGACTTCGCTTTATTAGCACTGCCATCCATTTGACTTGTTTTTTTGGAGCTCCAGCCTCGTGCTTTCAAATTCGGCCGCCATACTTATAACCATGATATCTACGCAGGCACCATAGCATCGGCTACTGTAGTATCGCAAACCCCACACTATGGTACAATATCTTGACATGAACGTAGTTTATAAGCCCTCTATTTCATCCTTACTCGAGCATGTAGGTGCTGAACTTACGTCTGTACAGACTTCTCGCTACCTTCA